TCTATTGGGGCCAAATTTGGCTATGTGTATTACACAGATATCAAGTCGACACTAGGGGAAAATGTCAAATGAAGGTACACAACTCCAGCTAAGTGAATAGCATAGGTAGAATCAATGTACCTTAGTTCAAATGACCTAGGCATCTCCACTCTGGAGGGGAGAAGGGAGTACCAGAGTCAACAGGAGTGTGATTAGCTGTCAATTTAGTGAGTCTTTACTAGACCCGCTAAATCAATCCCCCAGGAGATATATCCCCACATTGCCACTCTCCTGGTAAGTATAGATGAGGCCTAAGTCCTCCATTTCTGGAAAAAAAAATCCCAGAAAACTATCCAAGGTTTGGTGCTCTGAAACATTTCTGAGTCAGTTTTGAAATACCACATTCTAGTTTTCTCTTTCTTAGCATAGTATACCATGTAAATGGAAAAGAATGACACTACCAGTCCATGGCTATGTAGACACACCTGGCTATCAATTTCTTAACCATTTATCTAAAGGCTAAGGGATCAAATGAATTGCTTTCTTTTTAAATTTTTTAAAGTATCTTTTTAGTGTTTGCTAATTAAAATAATGTCCAACTGAAGGTTACTGAAGTGTCATAATTTTCAACACAAGATGCTACTTCAACCCTTCCAATCAAACCTATATTGATCTCTCTCCCTATGAACCAAATGGTTTATTCATCTGTTCCAAGTTATTTCTTTCTAGCCATTTGTCATTTACATAACACTGAGTAACCAGTCTTGGGAATGTCCTAAACTACAGAAAGCCTCTATAATAATTTTTGACACAGGGGACTTCATGGAGAAATCCTTATATTCATCAGCTGCAGATTCATTGCACTTTCTGTTTAGCTAGCCATTTCCTAATGGAACAGTGATATTTTATTTGGCTGGCAATAGCTGCTAGCACAGGAGAACAGTTGTATTCCTGAAACTGGCTATTGGAAAGAATTTCCTTGCTTATTTTTCCTCAGTGTATGTGTGCACGCATGTTTTAATTTAAAATAGTGGGTGCAAGAGCCTTTTTTTTTTTGTTATTTGTTAATATCTCTTAGCAGATTTTTCATATTTCAATCATTTGTAGAGTATGTACATGCTTAAGATTCTTGTTTAGGATGTCTTTTTTCCCCTCTATTGGGAGAAGTAATGCAGTTTTAATCAGATATAGTGCTTCATTAAAAATGCTATGATTTCTGTATCACTGTTGCTATTTTCTGTTCTTCAAAAAGGCTGAAATGAAAAGATTTTTCTGTATAAGAAAAGAAACTGGTCATTTCTCATGAATCACCTCTTCTGTGCCAGAATAAAAATTCCAGTACAGCAAGAACTCCATAGTCCTACCTTCCGAGAAGCAGGAGGAAAGGATTTTTAGTCACATGCGGTATAAATGACCAGCTCCTCCCATTTCCCCTTGGTCTTCTTAAATTTTATTTGATTTTTTTCCTCCTTTCCTGGAAGCATGGACTATTTGCTCAGTGCTCTCCACTTCTATTTATCATTCCACCTCGAAGGTGTTTTTCAAAATTCTTAAGAGTGGAACCCTTAAAAAGAAATCCCTAAAATGAATCTATATCACTATCTATGGATCACTAGTGAAGTTTCAGGACCCTATTTCACAGGGCCATAATGAATATTTCTTTCTGAACATCTAAGGTCCTTCTTTAAGTCTGGACCTCCACAGAGTTATCTCTATGTGGAGAAAATGTGAATGTTGCTGAAGCTATGATGCAAAGAATGAACTGAATTACGGGTTCATATATGTTGTTTTAGCTACCTTCAGCTCCTCAAGGACTGCAATGATTGCTCAAAATTTTCATCTCCAGTCCCTTGAATTCACTATCTCTTCTGGATTCTACATAAACTGATTATGTGGGGTTTGGACAGCTCTTCCATCTCCATTTTGCAATAAATAATGGGCAGAGACACTCCCAGGCCTCTCATTGTTTAAATGATACTTTACTCTGTTGTTTGCTCAGGCTATGACTAGTAGTACCTCATACTCTTCCTATTTTTCTCATGCCTTTTCCTCTGTTTCTCCTTTCTGATTGGAGTAAAGGGACAGCTATTTGGTTCCTGTGGCCTCTCTTGTAAGCTTAGCCAATTCTTCCTGGAAAAGGACAGGAAGACAGAAAGAAAGGACAGGCATTTCCACATTTTTCCTGCTCCTGGAAGAAGTTACATCCAATCTACCTGTACTAAGAGACAGCAGCACCTAAACTACCCAACCATCCACCCAGCAACCAACACCCCCAAATCAGACATGATGCCTATCCACTAACTCATTCCTACAGTAGCTTACAGCTGCAAAGGATGATGGGGTATCAGCACAAACATTGGAGGTTTGGGGGCATGACAAGTAATCAGTGCATATTACGATGAGCTGAGGAAATCCTCTTACTTGGAACCACTAGGAAAGATCCATTGATAGAAAAATGAGGAAAAAAAAGGAACAGTCTTTTACTTAGCAGCTATTTATAGGGGTGATCTTACTATTAAAAATATGCTATCCTAAAGCACAAGTGGAAGAGATATTGACTGAATTCTCAGCTGCACCAAGTATGTGCTAAGTAGAGCTGAGCTGTGGAGCCAATTGAGGCTCTCTAATCTTGCAGTCTTGGCACAGCCTAGTCATGGCTAGACCACCTTTATGGTGTCTCAAAAGTACACCCTCTGGCTTTGTCCCTCAGAAGCTGGTGCATCTGTTAAGAACTGCTAGACTGTCGCAATGCTCTAGTTGCATATCCTCCTCCCCCTCAATGGCAAGGACTTCAGTTGCACTAGGGACTTGGAGAAAGAGTAGCCAGCTAGCGGGAGCTAAATAGAAGAAATCTACATCATTGGGACACTCCTCCAGATTAGGGCAATCCTCAGATGGGGTGAGTATCTGATCTGATGTGTCTTTAACAGAGAAGAGTACATAGTTGCTAGTTTGAAGTGGTTTCCATTGTACACAAGGTTTACAATTTGGTTCAGTGGCTGTCTGCACCCGTACTATACAAATTGCTCCAGCACCCCTGGAAGAGTGAGATGCAAACATTTAATTTCTGGCCTTTGACCTCTCTCTGTTTTCCCCATTTTCCTCATTGCCATTCTTCCTCTCCCCCTCCCCATTCTGCCTCACTCTTGTGTTTTAAGATCTATTTAATTATGCCTGTAGAAAAGAAAAGGCTTGTATCAAAAGAGCAATTCCCTCTTTTGATTTTCAATTCATTTCCCCCCTCTCATTCAAAAGAATAGAAATATACAAAGTAATTTGGTATATAAAATGATTCCCTGTAATTTTAATCCTTTTAAAGTGCTTGTGGAGATTAGCACAATTTGATTTATTTTGACAAGGGGTGGTAAAAACTTTAAGAATATCTACTAAACCTGTCTTAAGAGCCTGTTGCTGTGCCACAGGAGTGAATATTTCAGGTGTTCCAGAGGTTTCAGAGATGATTTCCTAATGTAACTAAGTGAATTAAAGCTGCACAAGAGAAGATTTCAGAGTAAATAGAAAAGGGGTGCCACCCTTTTGCTATTATTTGAGAACATTTTTCAGCAGCAGTGCCACTTTTCTTATTATTCTATTACTTTATGTTTTCCTTATATAAGGCCAGCAGATCCCAGTCATCTGTGGGCAGAATCTAATCTGGGACCTCTGGAGATCAGTGCATGAGACTCTTCTGCATGAGCCAAAAGCCAGCTGCTTGTCCACTAAGACTGTAGGACCCATTCATTCTTTCTCTCTGTAAGTGGTCTGTGCCACTACATGGGCCAGTGAACCACACTCACCAGGTGTGTAGGTTACACTTATATTTTGAAAATAATCTGGAAACATATATAATGAAATTCAAAGCCCATTGAAGGTGATGTGAAGACTCTCATTGACTTCACTGGGCACTGGGAGAGGTTCCTAGTGCAGATGGTCTGCTCACAGCCCTATGCTCTCCTTAAAGCCTTAACTTCAGTGTGCCCTCTGCACTGAGCACTGATATGAATCACACACACCCACTATATATATATATATATATATATATATATAGCTGCTCTATATCACTAGCTGCTAAAAATCACTACAATTCTTGTTTAAACTAGCCAGATCAAATTCCACTGAGAAGACAATGCATATTATCAAAGATTTTAAAGTGGAATATCTGTGTAAAAGCAATGTACCTAAGTGAGGAGGCAAATAATTCCTTCAGCATCTAATTTGTGTATTTCTTTAGTAGGTGAAATGTCATTTTTCACTGTGTACAATTTATACTTTAAAATATGTTTCCCCTGGTTTTGATAAACATTATAGAATGCAATATTTGCCCACAGAAGTGCATGATGTCACCATTTATTTCAGCATTTAGTGAGAGGCCAATAGAGAAAGGGGGTGATTCATAATTGTACTTCTTTTTCTGGCTTCCTTTGGTTCCACCATTTTATTACCTTTGTTTTTTCAGAAGACCAACTTCAGAGTACTCTAACAGGAGTTAGGTTCTTACCTACTCTGTTTCTAAATAGATCTGCAACTCATTTAGTTTAAGGAGAACTGGAGTTTCAGTGCAAGTAAGCTTTGGCGGCAACAGTGAAAAGAAAGGACTATCTGGTACTCACCATATTAGAGACCCTTAGTCTTACTTGTTCTTAGAATCTTGGAGCTATGCTTCATTGGTAGATGATACTGTTCTTGATTTAGTGCTAAATAATATTTACTGTTCAAATTAACACGTAACTTTTTAGAAAACAGCCTTTCCAGGGAACTGAACTCCCCAAAAAGAAGCTGCTGGATATGCAACTGAAAAATGGAGGAACTTTCTTCCTTGAAACATGTAACTCACAGAATGCAGAGAATGTTCAGCTAATTCAACAGTAGTACCCCTTTTATTAAATACGTCTGAACAGCAAATTATTTCAAAGAAATAATGATCTGTACAATCACATTAAAAGACACGCGCAAGTGAAAAGAGGAAGATGGCGAATTACAGAGTAGGCGAGTGACTGATCTTTCTGTGTGGTTTTCACTAGAGCGCAAGAAGAAAGATTACATCCCTACAGCAGTCTTCAAAGCCTTGGAGTCAGAGAGTGAAATAGGAAATGAACTGCAGTTCAGTGACCCTCTGTGGCCGGAACAGTGGGAGCTGGTAAGCACAGCATTTCCAACTTTATTCACTTCTCTTTCTTTAACCACTACCACTAGAAGGCCATCTCTCTCCCTCCCTTTTTATATTACTATTGTTTCCTGAAAAAAAATTAATGCAGTGGATCTTTCTTTCTCTCGCTCTTAATATCTATTATATGTATATACAGACATGCTTGTGAGTACTGTATGTATAGCTGATATACTTTACTTTGTAGATGCCTGTTCTCTGGTGTCTGACAGAGTATATATTGCACTATGTAATTTTCTCTGTTTTATTAGTGATAAAACCAAAAGTTGGTCACCTAGGTCTGCTAGAAGAATGGTATAAAGTAGAGCTTTCAGCCTGGTCTATAATTTTCTCTTTAATGAAGGTGCTTTCTTTGTTAAAATGGATTGGCAAAATTCTCTAGCCTCAGGGAAAGAAGGAATTATAACTATAGCCATATTATGATGTCACATAAGAGATACTTGACCTTATCACCTGGATCTGTTTCCATACTACAAAAGAAACATGTATTCTTACATTTAATAAAAGGTTTAACACTCACCTCATCAGACCATAATATTAAACCTATGTAACTAAACTGCAAGACCATGCAAAAATGTAGGCAGGAAGTAAAACAGAAAGATGTTAATGTTTATGTATCCTTGTAAGTAAGTACTCTTTAAGGCATCCAAGGGGCCGATTGATGATCTAAGTGAATATTTTTTTATTATTATTATTTTGTAACTGAAGATCTCTTGATCTTTAAATGGGACTTCCAGATTTTGCAGTGTGTTTATTTTAAAATGGAAATATATCCTTAATCACATCCAGACTTACCAAACGTTTTACAGAGGTGTAGCGGCAGCTCAGATTGTATGAGCTTTTAAGCACATAATGAGATGGATGGCTTGAAGGAGCCAATTATACCAATACTTTTCAGATAGCCGGTGTCTAGATGTTTAACTTGATCTCAGAAGATGGGATGCAGTTAATTACTGAGGATACTTTGTAAGGGAGAAACTTAAAAATCAAACCTTAAAACTTTATTATATTGGTCTTTCTGCTGTGACGTAGTCTCCCTGCCAGAACCCTTTGATTCATTCCCTTCTAAAGCTTTGAGAACAATTGATTTTTTGGGTTGGCCAACAAACTGAAAAGGCAGAGGAAATATTTAATTAGATTTGTAACTTGCCAATATATTGAAGAAGTCCATTTTGGGCCAGCAAATACATGTATATGCAGGTGTTTATCCTTATGTAACTGTTAGCCCAGTGATTATTAGGGCAGTGGTTTTCAACTTTTTTCTCATGACCCCCACAAGAGCTGGTGGCCAAGATTCCAGGTGTCAGTGGGGCCCCTAGGCATGTTCTGGTGGTTACAATCCTGGCACAGGGTGCAAAATCTGGGGGCTGCTACAGCATCCCTCACACACACTTCTACTTCCTGCATCTCTGGTAAACTTTCTCTGTGGAGTCTCCTCCCTCCCTGTGGGGTTGCCCACCAAATGGTTCTCTGTTTCTCGGATCTTGAATGTCCTTACCTCTGTAGGCGTTCTCCGGATGTTGTGTCTGTAGTCTTCCGATTATTTCAGCTTCTTGAGCAGTCCCCTCTCATGACCCGGGTGTCACTGCACAGCTTACAATTCCTCTAGCCCACTCCTTCTCGTGTCTCTAATGGCTGGATCTTCATGGGAGGGGTCTCCAGGCCTGGTATGTCATTGGCTGATGTAGCCTCTTGTGCACTTGTTCCCAAACTGTGGGCTGGGACCCCAAAGTAGGGCACAAACCCTTTATAATGGGCTCTCTGGGGTGGTGTGATTCTTGTTGGGGGGCCAAGCCCCACTGGCTGGGGCTAAAGTCAAAGCCCAAGCCCCACCCATTCAGGGCTGAAGCCAAAGCCTGAGGGCTTCAACGCTGGGAGGTGAGGCCCCCCTGTCTAGAGATGGAGCCTTGGGGGTTTGGCTTCCCCTGACCTAGTGGTCATGTAGAAATTTTTGATGTCAGAGGGGGGTTACAGCGCAGTGATGTTTGAGACCCCCGGCTGTAGTGCCTGCTTTCTCTGATTGTTGGCCATCTCTTCTCAGCAGTATTTTCATCCTTCTGAGTGCAACAAGTCTCCTCTGATTGGTAGCCAGGTTTGGGTCCTTCATCCCATTTTTGTCTTCCATGAACTGTTTTGGTATCCCCATGATGCAGTATTTTGGTGTGTCAAATGCTAACAAGAAGTCAGAATTACAAGAAACCAGCCTTAACAATCTCTTAATTGTTTTCACGGTGGATTTTGCCTTATCATTACTCTGTGGTTATGCAGGGGAGGAGGTGCAGTAATCAAACTCCTATTTGCTGGAAAATTCCTTGAATTATTCTGAGGCAAGTTGGGGTCTGTTGTGGGCACGTACAGTTTCCAGAATGCCATAGCTCACAAATTGGACTTTTAGTTTGTAATTCACTAACTTGCTTCTTGTATCTTGTATCCAGCATCAAATTCCCCCCAAAAATTAAATAGTTATCCACTGAAATCAAGTCCTGCCTTTCCTTAAATGTAAATATATCTGCTCCCACCTTTCCCCATGGTCAGATGCACATCTTTTCTGGTAACAGTCTCTTTTTGCTGATAGTTACCAATGACTGGCAGCTCATACATGCTTCTATCAAGGAGTGTTCTATATTCATTCCTGTCCAATAAATGCACAACTGAGATAATCTAAGACAACTGTACATACCCAGATGTGGAAGATGTATTTTTGGCATGATAGTTTTACATAATAAGGCAGGAACAACTGGATTCTATCTTTGAAATACAATTCCATCCTGCACACTCAGCTCATCTTCAATTTGAAAATGTAAGTTTACTCCTACAGGCTTTTGTCTTCTAACCATGCTGCAGTAGTATCATTCCCTTGACTGGCTGTGATTGGATGTCCTTTTCTGAAGCCTCCTTGATTTCCATTAGCTTCACTTCTGAAACTTGAAGATTGCCTCCATTTACATGCAGTTCTATGTCCTACTGCCTCTGATGCATGTACACCCTGGCCACCTTAACCATACTTATTCCTGTGGGGGAACACCAATTAACCCCTGGGGCTGCACCCAGAGCAGGAACCAGGAGATTGATTAGGAACACGCTGCACAGGTGGGGTCTATATATCCAGGTAGCAGGCTATTGACTGGACAGCAGTAGAGGAAGGGCAGTCATTCCTTGGGAAGAGGGTGTTGTATTTGAGGCCTGCTGGAAAGGCAGTAATCATCCCCCTCAGTTGCCTGATCTGTGCCTAGCACTGCTGGAGGCTTATCAACAAATACTCCAAATTTTCTGGAGCACTTAGAAGGGTTTTCCACTAGCTGAAAGGGTTTGTGGTCTGATTCCACTACTACTGGGTGGCCATAAATGTACTGATGGAAACACTCTACTCCGAATACCACAACTAAACGCTCTTTTCTATTTGGGAGTAATCCCCCCCTCCTTGGGTTCTGACAGGATTTTGCTGGTATGAGTGACTGGTTGTGCCTGGAAAATAGCTACTCCCAGTTCTTTGATCAGTGCATTGCAATGGAGTGTTCAGGACCTATCCTGACTGGTTGTACATTATCCTTTGTTTCAGTGTAACAAATGCTTGCTTTTGGGAAAGTGTAACCCGCCTCTTTCACAAATCTGACTGAATATTTCTGAAACCTTCTGTTCCTGCACATGCTGCTAAAATGGCTTGACTTGCCACACCGCTTGTATTGCTGTGCTAGTGCGAGGCTCTGCTCCTTTACCTGCTCATGCTTCCTCCCACAGTAAATTCATCTCACTGTGGCTGTGGAGCCCTGGACACCCACTCTACCTTGCGGTTGTCTCACAGCATGTAGTGCAGGGACTGCTGTGCCTCCTAGGGAACTTGGTGAGGAGGGAACGGTGGTCTGCAAGGGCTGGAGGGGATGCCTGTTCATGCAGGCAACCTGGAGAGCCGCCATGCAGTCCATTACAGCCGCCCTGGATGAAAAGACTTTCCCTTGGTGCTTCACTTACAGTTCCCTTTCCTCACACTCCACTTGCATCTCCTCTAGCAGTGTATTGCTCCACTCACTTATGTGCTCCCTGTCCAAGTTGGCAGATTGCATTTGCTCCTGGAATATCTCTTCCCTACTCCATTTTTGCCTACAGATTTGTGCCTGGTGATCAGCTGGCAGAGCTGGGGGAATGCGCAGCAAGCTCATTGCTGTTTCTGCTATAATGAAAAGTGAAGGGCAGAGTTTACAGGAGATTAGTTGCAGAGTGTAACACCAAATATCTTTGAATAAAATGAAGATCTGTCTAGAGACAATAGAGATGTGTTATGTACAAGGCCACAGTTATGTTTTCAAGTAGCCACTATGCAGCAGGAACACTACAGAGTTCTTTGGGGAGCAGCTGGACTTGATTTGGTGGCAAGCATGGTAGGGAAGAGGCTGAGGCATGAGCCTTCAGGTAGGAGGTGGACAAGTCCAGGCATGATGGCAGAGCAGAGTCAAAGCTCACATAATGCCCATGTGTTCGGCACCTCCATTTGTCAGGAAAGGGCAACTTTCTCTTCCCACAGGAGTGGGTGGGCAGGAAGAGGGGAGAGGATCCAGATGTGGTGGCACAGCAGGGCAGGCACACCTGTGTTCAGCACCACCACCCCCATCTACTAAGAGAGTGCAATTTTCCCTTACTGCAGGAGCTGGTGGGTGGTCAGGAATGGGAAGGATGTCTAGGCATGGCGGCAAGGCAGGGGCTCAAGCCTTGCTTCCTTGAGCATGAGCAAACAGAGGTTTATTCTAGAGGCATCAGCTGATAGCTTCCCCTGCTTCATCCAGGTTGCCATGCGAGTTATCCATCTTCTCTGAATCACAGAGTGATAGGGAGCAGATGCTTTATGCTGCAATGCTGCCAGACCACTTACCGCTGGCTTGGCATGGGAAGGTGTCCTACAGAATAAGACAGGCCTCTCCAGACACCTTGTGAGAAGGATGAAAGTGTTTCACTCTGAGAGCT